AGATCATATTCATGCTATCCGAGTGCCCTTTTGAGCTCCTACGTCTTGAAAACACTAAAAAGACATTTTAATAAAAGAACTATTCATTCAGTTCACTTCAAAAGGATCAAAAATTTATTTGAAATTTTCATTTCAAGCCATTTCAAATGGAAAAGTCATCCTGTTTATTTTAAAAATGCCATCTTTTTCAACATGTCTCTCAGCCCAATGATTAGTCTGGATACCCATTCAAAAGTAGCTTTCTCAAAATATTTTGAAATCAATCGATTACTTTTCTCACAACTGTTGTTTAACTTACATGTTAGCGTGTTGATTTTTTACACTAGAGTTATGCGTAGTCTTTGTTCATTTTGGTTCAAACCGATCTTGCTGAAAAATCTAGTTATGTAAACAGTGCGTCCAGGTTATTGAAACATAGCAATCTCTTCTGAAAATTCTGACCCCTTTCGGCCGGATGTTGCCAAAAGGCGACATCGTAGTATCTGCTTATATCTCATATGTCTGCCCCGCATATTGAAACCTGGTTATCTTTATAGTTGAGTGGTAAAAAACATGTACTAGAAGAATTTTTTGCTTCGTTGCTTCTAGGACCCGGCCGTAAAGGGTTGAAGAAATTTAGTACTCAAGAAATTCACCCCTACTCCCCCTCAGGTTTTAGTCAAAAAATGAATTTCAGTTTTCTAGATATATAATTTTTTCTGAGTATGTGTCGACAACAAGTTTAAATTCTTTTATCAGAATAATAGCATTGTGTTAAAAACTATCAGTTTTTATTTTCTTCTATTTCTCCAAATTTTTAATTGTTTTAATCGAAGGTTATTTCATTTTCTAATAAAGCACAATCAAAACTGTGTTACTTCAGACATATCTTTCAACTAATCTCAGTGATGTTTTATTAGAGACCATATTTAAGGTTGAATCTTTGTTTAAATAGAAAGGACGGGGGCGCATAAGACGTCAAATCGACCCATTGGTATTTTTCCAGACAAACCCTATTGAATTTTACATCAACGGAAAGAGCAAATTGAGACGAATATTTTGGTGTTGAATTCATTAGGTTTTGATCGAATTTCGAAGGTTAAAAGCTATAAACAACATAACTCATTTTTGGTCATTAATTGAATAATTGATCCGTGCACAGTGGATTCAATTCCATAATAAATATATAAGACAAAATGGTACTTAAATTATGAATTTGATAGCTCTTGAATAGGGCTTCAATTCTATATATAAATCGTTATTTGATTATTTAGTTCGATGAGATAAAGATCCAATTCATTAAGAAGTACTATTAGTGTATTTGCTATATTTGTCATTTTCTCTTATATTTCAACAGATATTTGAACTTAAAAATTGAAGGTACCAAAAATTTAGTTCGGCTCGTTTGATAGCCCTTCTCAAAAGCTACAACTTCATTATATTTTCATTTAAAAAAAAATATGGCCACTAGTGCAAAAAAGACCTTAATAATTATCATATTCAGTATTTGTCATTTATCCTTATATTTCAACAGATATTTGAACTTAAAAATTGAAGGTACCAAAAATTTGGTTTGACTCGTTTGATAGCCCTTCTCAAAGGCTACAACTTCATTATATTTTCATTTAAAAGAAAATATGGCCACTAGTGCAAAAAAGGCCTTAATAGTTTTCATATACCATATTTGGGACTATTTTTTGAACATTTTTGACTTAATTTCATCACATACTATAGAAATTCGAGTTTTTATCCACTATTTTCATTTAGATTCATACTTATCAGTTAAGAGTAAGCTATTTTAGAAATCATAGAACATATATTTAGAATCACCCAGATCCATATGTGATTTATGCAGACAAGTAATATGCCTTTATGTTCCAAAACTAGATGTTATAGATTTGTTATACTGCAATAACATTCGATAACCACTGAAAATGCCAGAAAACCTTTTTAAAAAATATTTAATTAACACTAAAAAAGTCAAATGATATAAACCAGATGAAATAAAATTATCTTGAAGCGTGTTGTTTTATTTAAACGAATGAATGTTTGAGACTTATGTAATATATCTATATGACGACAGTAACTACTCTTTTTCTATACATAACAGATTCTGTATTATAATAGATCATGTTTGATAAATAAAATCTGATATCTGAATAGATAATTGATCCTGTTAACATCTGATGTACTGATCTTCAGATACATATGATCGATCTTTTTCTCTTTGTAGTTGAATAATAATGCAAAAGGAAACGATAGTCTTTATATATCACGAAGAAATCAGTTTTTGAGATGAAATAAAGAAAAAGAAATGATGAGCACTTTTGTTTAAAATCGTATCGTTGTTATCTATACTTCATCATCACTGCTAGTTTCCTCATCATCAGTAGCTTCGACATCCGAAAATTGTACACTGTCGATGATTTCAGAATATATCTCACTAGCTGAAAGAGGATGAGTGTTTAGTTCTATTTCTGCACGACGTACACCGAGATGCCACAATAGGGCTGCTACGTGTACGCAGCAGCCGACATCGCGTCTTCCTGACGTGCAGGTACAATACCAACCATTTATTGGTTGTTCTGTGTTTTTGTTATCATATTGTATAACAGCAATGTAATTCTTGTTGTTTGAGTAACGAGAAGAGAAACGGGCTCGAACAAGATCATCATTATATGAAGAAAGCTGAACAATAAATTCAAATTCATCATCGTAAAGAGGAGATGGTGTTAAATGTTCTTGGATATATGATATGGCCTGTTTTACTTGATAACTTCCTACAATAAAATCAATTATAATATGAAAATATCTGTTATTTTCATACCGCAACATAAACTACGAACATCATCTTGAGATAGCTCGGGAAAAAGACACATCTGTGCATCATATTTCTTCCAATCGGATCTTTCTTTTGCAATTTGAGAAAGACGGACTTGAATATTAGTTTGCTCATTGAATTTTTCAAGCATACGATAAGCCAGTTCAGAACCTGCGTGAATATCAGACACAGGTCGTGGACGGAAAGCATTTATAAGGGCACAAGTAATGTCAAGATAATTACTGATAAAACGAAGTGATGAGTTTTGGATTGTCTGACTGAAGTATTTCCATTGTTTAATTTGTCCATTTACTAGGAAAAAACTAATAACAAAATTTAAACAAAAATTAATACTATACCACTCTCAATGATCCATCGAACTTTCGTAATTAATCGAGTATAATTGGCTTCTTCAGTACTGAGTTGTTCTCTTCTGTTTAAAGACGAAGGCATAACAGCTTCATAACCAAAATGCTTAATTGTTGGTATTACGTCACGAAAACCTCTATCAACTATCAATACATTATCCTTATGAAGCCAATTAATGATATCTTGTTCGTTTTTGTATAAGGAATGTTTAAGAATAGATGCATCATTATTTTTATAATCCGAAAAGAAAGGTCCAAGTGCACATAAAATATACCCATCCTGTAAAAAAATCGAACATAACTAATTCTATATGCTAAGGAATGATATAAAAAAGATTTCGTCTACTACTTTCTGGTAATAGATGATAGACTCACTGTAGTTGTTAAAATCATAGGCTTGACTAAATTCCGATGTTTGTGCATTGAATAAGATTTTCTTTGGAGCTGATTGTTACTAGATTTTTGTATGAAAATGTAAGTTCCATCAGCTACAACACATAATTGATTAGGTTTATTAGTATGAAGAATAGTAGCAATGGCTGTTTGATGTTCTTCAATAGCTGTCTGACGATTAATATGTTGCAAATTCAAATGATAAGGCACAAACTCCTTCATTAAAGCTTTACGAACTTGGCTGATGATATGAGAAACAACTCTTTTGTTGTCAAGATGAAATAAAACAGCTAAAATTCGATTACTTAAAGCCAAACGTAATTTTGCTAAAAATACAGCAAGGGCAACACGGACTGATCTTACGTGAGAATTTCGCATTGATGACACTGTTTTAACCAAATGATCAAATTGTTCTACAAACAAAATTATCGTAACAATATGTGTAAAAAAATTACTCTCAATACACAACCAAAAATTCCTTTAGAATGGATACTATCTTTCTAGTTATTCGATATTAAATTCTTCTTAGAGATCGACTGGAATATGTTTTAATTGATTAAAAATATGAAAAAATTCACAGTGAAACTCCTTTCAGTTGGTAGCGTGAACATGGAAATATTAAATATCGAATGTTAGTTACAATTATAAAATGATTACCATTTTATTTTTTATTGATCGATTTATTACAAAAATAAATAAGCTAAGAAACTCATCAATTTTCTTCGTGAACACTACCTTTCTGTCAAATATAAATTTTGACCCAAAAATGGCAGGTTTCACCTCAAAATCATTGTATTTTCAAATACAAAGAAAAAATGAAATTAGAAAACTAAGATGTAAATTTTTACTCATTTTCAGCTACTATTTTCAGTCATGAAATACCTTTCGTTAATCCAACAATACTCTGATATCCTTCGTCGCTGAAGCATGTTTGATCATCAAAATCAAAAGTCTTTTGTTTAAATAACATGGCACGAATATCTGCCACAAACATTTGAAATTCATTTGAATCAATCTTCCATCTATCAGCCTTCGACACACGAATATGATCAAATGATTTAATAGTTAATTCATCTTCACACAAGTGATCTTTACAACATCGAGAGCCTGGAACAACAACTACGTCACACTTTAAAAAAAATCATCGTTCTTTGTATTTGTGACAATACTTTTGATGACGAAGAATCTTTATCATCACAAAACACACAAGACCTAGCATCAGAAACTATTTTTATTAGAAGTTCAATAAAAGGTTCTTACTGATGCGATTTAGAACACCGAAAAACTGGAATACTAATACTATTAGATTGTACTTCTGCGTTTCCATTTGAATCGATTGAACAGTCATTATCAACATCAATATTCATCACCTATTAAGTTATCATACATAATCAAGCATAAAAAAAACGATTCCTTACACTGTTATCATCATTATTCATAGGTTCTATAGCAAACCCATTGACATAATCATAATTATCAAAATCACCTTCCATCTTTTGTTGCCACTTAAGAAATTGAGCACGACATTTCTGGCAAATAATATCGTCGCAATGAATACGTTTCGACAAACGTGCAGCCAAAAACAAACGTAAAAGACCAGCACCAACTTAACGAACTTGATTTGAATCAAAGATTCGTTCGCAGTCAACACATTTACAACGCGGTGTACGAGGCATGTTTTATAGATAGAATAGAACGAGAAAATGAGCGGTTGAACTATCGACTTCTTTATTTCTTAATCTAGGGTTCAGCACCATACTGACCTTACAGTGATAACATAACGTCTGTCTAGGTCATCTCTCGTCTAGCTGTTTCATACCTATATTTATCGATGACTGATTTCTAGGCGATATATNCCCAAAACTATATATTATACATTTGTTATACAAAAATAACATTTTATAACCACTGGAAATATGACAAAAACTTTTGAAAAAAAACCTTTAATTACCAACAAAAAAAAGTCAAACGATATAAATCAGATGAATTAAAATGATCTTAGAATCTTATAACATGTTATTTTAGTGAAAAGAATGAATCTATGAAACTTATCCAATATTTAGAAAGAAAGTATCCACTCTTTTTCTACACATAATGGGTCCTGTATTATAATACATCGTGTTTGATATATAAAATCTTATATCTTAATATATAATCGATTTCCATAACATCTGATATACTGATTTTTATAGACACATGATCGATCTTTTTTCTCATTGTAGTTGAATACTAAGGGAAAATGAAACGATCGTCTTTATATATCACGTAGAAATCACTTCTTGAGGGTTCTTGTTTTTATATAAAAAGAAGAATAAGAAATTATGAGCACTCTTATTTTAACTCGTATCGTTGTTATCTATAATTCATCATCGCTGCTAGTTTCCTCATCATCTGTAGCTTCGGGATCCGAAAATTGTACACTGTTGATGGTTTTGGAATATATCTCACTTTCTGAAAGAGGATGGAGTGTTTAATTCTATTTCTGCACGACGTACATCGAGATGCCACAATAGGGCTACTACATGTACACATCAGGCGAGATCGCGTCTTGCTGGCATGCCGGTACAATATCAACCATTTATTGGTTGTTCTCTATTTTTGATCTCATATTGTATAAGAGCAATGTAATTCTTGTTGTTTGAGTGGCGAGAAGAGAAACGAGCTCGAACAAGATCATCATTATGTGAAGAAAGCTCAAGAATAAATTCAAGTTCATCGTCGTAAAGAGAAGATGGTGTTAAATGTTCTCGGATATATGATATGGCCTGTTTTACTTGATAGCTTCCTACAATAAAATCAATTATAATATGAAAATCTCTGTTATTTTCATACCACAACATAAACTACGAATATCATCTTGAGATAGCTCGGGGAAAAGACACATCTGTGTATCATATTTCTTTCAATCGGATCTAGCTTTTGCGATTTGAGAAAGACGGATTTGAATATTAGTTTGTTCATTGAATTTTTCAAGCATACGCTAAGCCACTTCAGAACCTGCATGAATATCAGACACAGGTCGTGGACGGAAAGCATTTATGAGGGCACAAGTAATATCAAGATGATTACTGATAAAACGAAGTGATGAGGTTTGAATTGTCTGACTGAAGTATTTCCATTGTTTAATTTGTCCATCTACTAGGAAAAAACTAATAACAACACTTAAACAAAAACTAATATTATACCACTCTCAATGACCCATCGAACTTTCATAATTAATCGAGTATAATTGTTTTCTTCAGTACTGAGTTGTTCTCTTTCGTTTAAAAACGAAGACATAATAGCTACATAACCAAAATGTTTACTTTTTGGTATTACGTCACGAAAACCTCTATCAACTATCAATACATCGTCCTTATGAAGCCAATTAATGATATTTTGTTCGTTGTTGTATAAGCAATGTTTAAGAATAGTTGTATCACTATTTTTATAATCCGAAAAGAAAGGTTCAAGTGCACATAAAATAGATCCATCCTGTAAAAAGAATCTAATATAACTAACTTTATATGCTAAGGAATGACATAAAAAAAGATTTTGTCTAGTACGGTCTGGTAATAGACGATAGACTCATTGCAGTTGTTAAACTCATAGGCTTAACTAAATTCCAATGCTTGTGCATTGAGTAAGATTTTCTCTGAAGTTGATTGTTAGTAGATTTTTGTATAAAAAGATAAGTTGCATCAGCTACAACACATAATTGATTAAATTTATTAGTATGAAGAATAGTATCAATGGCTGTTTGATGTTCTTCAATAGCTGTTTGACGATTAATATGTTGCAAACCCAAATGATAAGGAAGAAAATTCTTCATTAAAGTTTACGAACTTGGCTGATAATATGAGAAACAACTCTTTTGTAGTCAAGGTGAAATAAAACAGCTAAAACTCGATTACTTAAAGCCAAACGTAACTTTGCTAAAAATACAGCAACGACAACACGAACTGATCTTATGTGAGAATTTCGCATTGATGAGACTGTTTTAACCAAATGATTAAATTGTTCTACAAACAAAATTATCGTATTAATATGTGTAAAAAATTACTCTCAGCACAATCAGAAATTCCTTTAGAATGGATACTATCTTTTGAGCAATTCGATATTAAATTCTTCTTACAGATCGACTGACATGTTTTTATTAATTCAGAAATTGAAAATAATCCCAATGAAACTCCTTTCAGTTGGTAGGTTGAACATGAAAATATTCAATATTGAATGTTAGTAACAATTATAAAATTATTATCATTTTGCTTTTTATTAATCGACTTATTACAAAAATAAATAAGCTAAGGAACTCATCGATTTTCTTCGTGAACCCTAACTTCTTGTCAAATGTAAATTTTAACTAGGAAATGGCAGGTTTCACCTAAAAATCATTATATTTTCAAATAGAAAGCAAAAATGGAATTAGAAAACTAAGATGTAAATGCCTATACATTTTTAACTACTGTTTTCAGTTATGAAATACCTTTCGTTAATCCAACAATTCTCTAATATCCTTCGTCGCTGAAGTATGCTTGATTATCCAAATCAAAAGTTTTAAATTTAGATAATATGGCACGAACATCCGTCACAAATATTTGAAAATTATCTGAATCAATCTTCCATCGATCAGCTTTCCATCCATAAATATGGTCAAATGATTTAATGTTAATTCATCTTCACACAGTGATCTTTACAACATCGAGAACCTGGAACAACAACTGCGCCACACTTTAAAAAAAATCATCGTTCTTTGTACTTGTGATAATACTTTTGACGACGAAGAATCTTTATTATCACAAAACACACGAGATCTAGCATCAAAAACTATTTGCATTAGAAGTTCAATAAAAGGTTCTTACTGAGCAGACTTAGAACACCGAGAAACTGAAATACTAATACTATTAGATTGTACTTCTACATTTCCATTTGAATCGATCGAACAGTTACCATCAACGTCAATATTCATCACCTGTCAAATTAAAATACACATTATTAATAATAAAAATTCCAATTTCTTACGCTGTTATCATCATTGTTTACTGACTCTACATTCGCCCAATTAAAGCAATCAAATATATTAAAATCACCTTCCACTTTTTTTCCAATGAATGAATTGGCATCGACATTTCTGACAAATAGCATCGTCACAACAGATTCGTTTCGACAACCGTACACTCAGAAACAAACTTATAAGTCCCTTATCAACTTCATATACTTGATTTGAATCAAAGATTCGTTCGCAGTCAATACATTCACAATGCTGTGTGCGAAGCATCTGTTATAAATAGAATAGAACAAGACAGTGGGGGGGGGGGGGGAACAGTTGAATTATCGAAATCTTTCTTTCTTCATTCAGAATTCAGCGCCAGACTGACCTTAGCGGGATAATATAACGTCTGTCTAACTCATCTTGTCTAACGATTTCATATCTCTATTTATTAATGACTGATTTCTACGTGATATATAAAGACGATCGTTTCATTTTCCCTTAGTATTCAACTACAATGAGAAAAAGATCGATCATGTGTCTGTAAAAATCAGTATATCAGATGTTATGGAAATCGATTATATATTAAGATATAAGATTTTATATATCAAACACGATGTATTATAATACAGGACCCGTTATGTGTAGAAAAAGAGTGGATACTTTCTTTCTAAATATTGGATCAGTTGCATAGATTCATTCTTTTCACTAAAATAACATGTTATAAGAGTCTAAGATTATTTTAATTCATCTGATTTATATCGTTTGACTTTTTTTGTTGGTAATTAAAGGTTTTTTTTCAAAAGTTTTTCTCATATTTCCAGTGGTTATAAAATGTTATTTTAGTATAACAAATGTATAATATATAGTTTTGAGTCATTGATATATTTTAATGGCATTCATAGAACCTATATGTATCTAGATGACTCTAAATATATGTTTGAGGATCTCCAAAATCACTTGCTCTTTACTCAGGAATATGAATCTAAATCAAAATAATGAATAAAATCTCGAATTTCTATGACACTTGATAAAATTAAGCTAAAAAATGGTTTCAAATGTGATATACGAACACTATGAAGGTATTTTTTGCACTAATGGCCATATTTATTTTTAAATGGAAATATAATGAAATTATAGCATTTGAGAAGGGCTATCAAACGAGCCGAATCAAACATTTCCTCACTTTAATTTTCAGGTTCGAATGTCTGTTGAAAAATAAGAGAAAATGAAAAATATAGGAAATATACTAATAGCACTTCTTAATACATTCAATCTCTATCTCATGAAATTAGATAATCAATTAATGATTTATATATGGAATCGAAGCCCTATTCAAGAGCTATCAAATTCATAATTTAAGTACCATTTTATTCTATATATTCATTATAGAATTTGATCCACTGTGCACAGATCAATTAGTCAATTAATGACCAAGAATGTGTTATTTTGTTTATAATTTTCAGCTTTCGAAATTCTATGAAAACCTCATGAACTTAGTACCAAAATGTTCGTCTCAATTCGCTGTTTCAATTCATACAAAATTCAATAGGACTTGCTAAGAAAAATACCAATGGGCCGATTTTGCATCTTATACACCCCCGTCCTTTCAGCTTATTTGAACAATCCTACGCTCGAGATAGATTTTTGACGAGGTGCGGAGTGCCTTAAGAAGTGCCTGGACCGTCGAGTACAGTACGAATTAAAAGTGGCATTGACAAGATCAGAAAACGATATCAACTCGGTTTGCATCAAGGTGTACGAAAACTGGTGCCTAAGTGTGGTATATAAAGAAATTCTTTAAAACGAGTCGTTAGAGAAACACAGTTGGAATCGGTCCAGGTGGATCAGACCGGTTGAAATAGTTAGAACAGCTGATCTTGATTAGTTTTTATCGATCTAGAAAATTTTTCATGGTGAAAAATTCATCCTTGGTTTCCATTAGGGTTAAGTGAAAAAGTGAATTTTACGATTTCCTTGATATAGAATTATTCTTAATATAAAAAATGTCGGCAAGAAGTTTAGGTGTAATTATAAAAATAATCGTATTGTCTCAAGAACTATTAGTTTGATTTTCTTTAGCGATAAACTCTCCAACTTATCTCGTTGATGTTTTCTTTTAGATTAGATTTAAGGTTGGAACGTCATCTAGAAAATTTAGCTTTTTTGTGTAAAATCTAAATGCAAAAAGGTCGAAATTGACAAAATAAGCAAGCGCGTGTTTGGTTCATAGCTATTCTTCCTCTAGAGAGAAACAGCACATATTCTTCGTTTAGGACTCTTACAGATATTAATGACGATTAAATCATATATCTTCATGCAGATTAATAAAAATGTGAACTACAGGCACGAAAGCAGGTGTCTTTTTGGAACTTCTCCTGTTAACTGATAGTGAATGATCTAAATATCGATTAATTTCACCAATTTTTAGTGATCTAAAATTTTTTTTGAACTAATCGAACGGGAGCGGTTACAATATTTCGGATCGGTTCCAACTCTATAGAGAAGATCTCGACTTTTATGCCTATCATGCCAATGTTCAGCAAGAGTCAAGAGAAGTCAAAAAACAAGGAAGTACGAGTAATATTTGCATACTGGATCCGTGAATCATCTTTCTAATTATGATGTAGAGAACATTTTTCTGACTTCATTGATAAAAATCGATGGCCAGCAAATAGCCCCTGTCTGAATATCTAAGACTAGCATGCTAAGAACGGTTGAAGAACATGTGAAGTGAGCTAAGATTTACGACTATTGGTCATTAAAAGAAGAAATTGAAAAAAAAACTGCACAATCAGTACCAAAAACTGAGCTGATGAGTAGGTCAATTTTATAGTCGTCTCAGTTTCTCAAAATTTTGAAAAGAAAATGAGCCTATGTTAAATAAGTATGCTTGTAAAAAATATAGAACTCTGTTTACTCTTTCTGATACATACTTGTTTTTGAAATAACATTGAATGCTTGCATAGAACGTAGTTCTCCAAAGCAGGTATCTTAATCTGAGCTACCCCTTAATCTAGAATAGTATGAAAAAAATGGTCGGACAAACTCAGGTCAGGATGAATCTAAACATGATAGTTTTATTATCTACATCATTTGGGAAATCATTTAAAAATCAAAATAACAATTCTCGGTGTTTTGGTATTGAAAACATACTTTTAGAAAAAAATAATAACGGGTCAAAACAGAAAAATCTCGATGTTTCTTAAATGAAAATCGTTCAAGGCTAATGAAAAAACTTCTATTTTTACTGAATTTTTCGAGCTTCCTCTAGTCATGTACAGGGTGGTAAATAATATTATTCCAGGGGGGTAACAGTATGATCTCGAATCGGAGATATCATGAATTTTATACCAAATGAAAGCCCGTGAAAAATGGGGTTTAGTGATAGTAAATA